CTGCCCAGAACCAGCAGAAGCGCGCGGGCCGACGAGAGCTCTTCCCGAGGCCGCTGCGAGCACAACGCTGGTTTCGCTCTCCGAAGCCCGGCACCCTTTCCGCCCAAGCAACTTTTAACGCTCTCAACTCCACGGCTCTTTAATAAAAACCAGCAGCCAGGGAGTGTCTGTGTGGAGAGCGCGCACAAGCTGGAATGCTGCGCGCGTGGGGAAAGGCAGCGCTTTGCTCTACCCCTTACCAGCGTTGCTTCTTGTAAAGATCAATAGATTCTAATGGAAAAAGATTTTTTTTTTTAAAATACTTTTTCTCTTTGATTGCGAGGCACTTTTATTCCCCACCTGCGGATGAAAGGTCTGGCCAGCACTTTCACCCACAATGAATACAACTATTGTGTTGCTATGTTAAATTGTAAATCTCAGTTGGGGGGGGGTTGTTTTTTAATTGTGGATGTTTCTTCTATTTCAGAACGGGGGGGCATTTTGTGACCACAGAGGCGTTGCACGTTTGCAGGCCCCTCTGCCGGTGTAAACGTCTCTCCCCACCCACCCCCACACCAAGCGACGGGAAGAGTATCCATAAGCTCTGAATTCCCCACGTCCCACGCACACTTCCAGTCCAGGTAATAAATGAAGCATTGTCTGCAATTATGCTGGTGGAATCAAGTTCCATCCAGGTTTTAGGATAGAAAATTATTATTTCTTCAAGTCACATCAACACACAGATCATTACCTTGCACCCCCTTTTAGGAAACAAAAACAATCTGTTTAAGTGGAAGGCATGGGGGAGCGAAGCAAGACTGCTCATCCCCGGAAAACCAAAAGCCCATATAGAACAGAAAAGGCGAAGGAAGCCATGCGCACCCTAAGAAGATCCCCAAAGTCCATGTTGCTTAGGCCTTTCTTATGTCTAATAAAGATATTGCAGCAACATGGATTTTGGAAAGATTTTTGCTATTATCAGGGAGGGGCGAGAGAGGAACAATACGATCCCTCCTTAAGGGATCGAGGAGGATTCCTTCTGCTTTAAATTTCTTCATTTACTCTAACCTCCTCCCCCTGTTCCCCAAACGGAGCTTCCAGTTTCCTGTTGCAAAGGAGCGGAAGGGGAAAAAAGTCCCCCCGCTCCCATCTCCTCTAGAAGGGGAAAGAAAAGGCAGGGAAGCTCGTCAGTTTCAGGCTGCCTTTTGTGCTGCGCTTCGGCTCCGCAGACAAAACAAATCCCCATCTCTGTCTTCGCAAGGAGAGAGATCATGTGGCGCAAGGAACAGCCCCACCGGCCTCGACCGCTGCTCCACACAAAGGTTAGGAGGGACCAGGGAACTCTTCCTCTCGCGCGCGCTCTCGGCCCCCCCCCCCCGCCCGCCCGCCCGCCCGCCCGCCCGCCGTCCCCGGCAGCTTCGCGCCCTAGACCCGGGCAGCCCCTGGGAAGCATCCTTAAGCGAAAGCGCTCGTTCCCCGGAGACGCGCAAGAAAGGCAGGAGCCCGCAGAGCAGGGTCCGCCGCCTGCCCGGCAGCCCCGCTCGAGGCAGCGCGGGCGCCCCCGCTGCCCACGCCTTGCGGCCGGGGCGCGACTTCCACGGCGCCGCGGGAGAGCGACCCCCGCGCCGCGCCGCGCCGCGCCGCCTCGGCCGGCCATCTTCCCAGCTGCCTCGTCGCGCTGCCCCACGCCCTCCTCCGGCCTGCTAATCCTCGGGTTGTCTGGGGAGGGGAAGCCGCCGCCGCCGCCTGCTCCGCTCCGCTCCGCTCCGCTCCGCTCCGCTCCCCGGGCCCCGCACGTTGCAGGCGCAGAGGATCCGTGTGCCTTTTGGGGGGGGAGGAAGGAGCTGCGGCCGGGGCGGCGCGGGGTTTGCAGGCTCGCCGCCTCGACGGGGAACGCCGTGATGTCGCCCCTGCGCCTTTGCGGGAAGGAAAGACCTGCCGCGTTTGAAAATCCCCACTGGAAGCAACCCTCTTTCCGAGCGCGCCCTCCCGCTTGGCGGTGGAAAGGCTGCTCTCGAGCCGCGCTGAGCAGCAGCGGCGAGGGCGGCCGAAGAGGAAACGGCCCCTCGCTCTTGGTTCCCCGGACTCGAAAATAACTCAGTAAATAAATGGGAGGACAGGGAGACGGGGGGGGGGGGGGCGGGGGCGCAGCCGGATCGCTGGGTCAGCGGAGCAAAACACAAAACAGATCCTCTCCCGCGGTTCCCGGGACTGCAGCGAAGTGCGAGCCGGGCCTGTGCGCGCCAGAGGGCGAGCGCAGAGGAGCGCCCCGGCCGCCCCACGAAGCCGAGGCGTAAAGGCGAGGACGCCGCGACGGAGGCCCCGGACGTGCGAGCAGCCACGGGGAAGAGCGGGGACGCGGCCCTGGCAGCGCTTCCAGGGAGCGCTCGCCCGGTGAGGTCGCCTCCCCTCCGAGAACAGCCGCCGCAGCACCTCGAGCTCCCGGCCTTTCACTACCTCTTTTGTTAACAGAAAAGTCAATCCCTTTAATTAAAAATCGTTAAATAAATCTATCTCTTTACTAGCACGAATATACTTTCTATGCCGAATTTGCAAAGATATCGATGGCAACTCGAGCGGCAGGGTCCAGAGATAATTTGATTTGAAAGAACTGGTTTAAAAAAAACCCGAGAGGGAGAGAGGAAGGACGAAACAAGAGACTTTGAAATGTACATACACATAACCTACTACAGTTTCTGAAAAAAGAGAAAGTTGATATTTCTGCGGGCTTGTCTGCATATATACACGCACATTTCTAGACGATTTTTTGTTGGATGCATTGGAGCATTTACGTTTCTTCTTATAGCACAGTCTTTGCAAGTAAATCGAACGATATATAGTTTCTTGCTGGGTGGGTGTGGATAGGGATCCAGGTCAAAATTTCAGGCCTACAAGTGAGTAAGCCTGATTGAACCCCATGAATTTACTTTTGAGGAAACATTCCTTGCATTATGCTGTTAATTACGCTTCTGCTTCTAGAGGGAAACAAAGCGAGGCCTCGGGGAAGCAGATGCGGGCGGGGGGCGGGCAGAGTTAAAAACAGCCACGAGGAGAACACAGGCGACTGGGACTGTAGCGACCGGGCAATGGGGTTTTAAAAGACTTTCTGGCAGTTTAGGATCGGAGTTTTGATTGTACACAGAAGGAGGCGACGGTGGGCGATTTACGTTTTGATTCGAAGAGAAATCTTTCAGGATAATTTTTCATGAAAACGGCGGTAAACTCTGCAGTTCTACTCTTATTTCTTCAGATACAGCGTGGAGGCCGTGGGTTTGCTCCAGAGACGGATTGTTTAAGAGGGCTCGTGGAAAAACAGACCTGCGCTACTGAATCCGGAATGCAACCTACCCATCCCTCCCAATTAATAACAGTACTACGCGGGGATCTACATGCTTGGTTTTTAAAGTGTAACAAAAAAGGGGGGCATTCACGAATTACTGTGCCTTGGCAGTCTGCTCAATTGTGTGGGCAAACTCTCCAGCAGCCCAATTTCAAATCTATTTCGAGATAGGCATGGTGATACCTTAGTGGGGAATCAACTTGCTTCTTAAAAGGAAGGCTCGATAAAGGCCCGATTTCTTTTCCCTCAAACAAAATAAGTTCAAAAGGAGAGTTATTTATGTATACATAATTTCACTCTAGCTAAACATACTAACTGGGGGAGGGGGATACATTTACTTATCCTCCATGAATGAAGTTTTTTTTGTACACTGCTAAATGTAAATACAGAACAAATTGTGTTTTGGAGTTGGGAGATTCTTTTCTTCTTTAATCCCCCCTCCAGTTTAATTTGAAAAGAGTTTTGTCTTGGGGAGGAGGGTTTCCAAGAGAATGTGCAAAAAGGGTTTTCTACTGACAAGATGGGGAACAGATTTAAAAGTGGAACCAGGGATGGGCCAGAGTTGAAATGCTGGGTTTTGTGGTTGTGGGGTGGGGAGAACCTACATTTTTCTCGCTTTAGAATTAAATCACCATTAATGTGGCAATTAATGGGAAAGAATACAGAAGACAATGCGTTGAAAAAGAAGGGGTGAGAGACTTCACAAATACAAACAATTGAGATTAAATTGAGACAAAACAATTACTTACAGATCGCTGATTTCCTGGGTCAAAGTTCTGCTTAACAAATCACAGAAACAAAACAGTGTATAAAAAAATTCCACTTCACTGCAAAAAATAAAATAAAAATAAAAATATGGGCCAGTAGAGAGAACCAAACCCAGCTGGTGGGTTGGAAAATGCCTCTACAGGTGAACTGCTATCTTTATATGAATGCTTTATACACACATCTATATCCTTCCTCGCTCCTTCTTTCTTCCTTCCTTTCCCTGCATCTATAAAGTGGAAACTGGAGATGGTTTCTGCATGTGTGCGCGAGGACCCCAGATATATATTTCCCCCTCCCCCCGCCCCGATGCGTTTGAGGATTTGCTTTTACGACGGCGGCACCGTCCTTCTTGCTGCTATTATGAATTTAGTATTTAGTCGGTAATATTTTGCTCCAGCTCCAAGGTCCCCCTACCTGCCCGTTTGGAGTAAATCCATTCAATTAGGGCACCAAGACGGAGCTGGAGGCTCTATAATCTCAAATTTATGGCCGGATGACGTGCCTCTCTCTCCCACAATGGAGACCAGTGACATTAAACAGAAAATTGATGAGAGAGAAGCGAAATCTAATCTCTTTTCTCCACTTCTTCCACGCCATTGCTGCCGCCGCTCGCTTGCCTTTTTTCCATGGTTTGCGGAGAGAAAGGCGGGGTGGAGATGGCGAGAAAGGATTTTCTTGTTGTCGGTTGTGGTGGGTGTGCGAAGGAGAGCGGCACAATTCAGTCTCCCGAGGCAAATATGATCCGAACCATTTATCCATTACCCTCTCGCGCTCCCTGCACAATTGAGGTATGTGCTGGGGGGGGGGCGGGGGCCAGGGTGTTACCCTCGTTTTTAATCTCCCTTTTCCCCACCCCGCTTCCATCTCGCTCACATACGGCTTCGCATCCGTGCGGTGGGCTGGAGGGACTTACCTGACCGGGCTTGCGCCTTCTCGCGCAGAGTTGCATTTTCCTCCCGGCCCAAGAGATACAGTCGGAACCGCCGCCTGCTTTCGGGCGGGGGAAAGCGAGGGCTCCGCGGCCGGGCCACGCTTTGGAGGCGCCCCCCTTCCCGTGCAAAATGGAAAGTTTGAGTTCTGCATTTCAACCCGGCTACATTCCGCTGTTGTTATAAGATGAGAAGCCACCCCGTTCTTCCAACACGCACGCCGCGGGGGGGGGGAGGGGGAGGGGGGAGCGCGCCCTTGCCGGATCTATCGGAAGAAAGACAAAGTAACGTCCCCGTTGCAGCTGCAAGCGCCAGCCCGGGCGGGAGGGGCCGAGAGGAAATCCCAGCTCCTCGGCGTTCCAGACAAGAAAAGGAAACCGAGATTTGCAGTTCCTTGGCTACTTCTGCAGAGTGTGCCTGTGTGCTGCACGGAGTCGGTCTTCCACTCCACGCATACTTCCAAGGCAAAGTATCTCCCATTGACCCGTCCCAGCCGCAGACTCCTCTCAATTAAATCCCTCCCAGCCCCGCAGTGTAAACCACATAAGACACGCTGCTGGAGTGGGGGAAGGGGCGGGCGGGCAGGCAGGCAGGCAAGGAGCCGTACATTGTCCAGAGCCTTCCTATTTACTTTCAAGCTCGCTCGCTCTCTCGCTCGCTCTCTGCGCCCCCCCGCCTCCCCCCCCCCCAGTCATCTCATCCCCGTCCTTGTCTGGGATGAGTTTACAACTCCGCCGCTGCTCCCGTGCCTCAGACATAACAATGACCTGGTGGGGCTCGGGTCCTGCCCGCCCGCCCGCTGAGTTTGGGCACTTTCGGAAACGGGGCGCCCGGAGCTCTCCCGCTGGCCCGCGGGGCTCTGCTCGCGCCTGGAGGGGCCGAGGGAGCCGCCTCCCCAGCCACCGCAGGCTTGCTCCGCACGTGGCCTCCCGGCCCTCCATCTTTCCCCGCCACCCCGGCCCACATGCAGGGAACGGTTCCGTGCCACTTCCCTGGAAGGAGAGCCGGCCTTTGGAGAAGGGGGCGCGCGCTGACGCCCTAGTTCCTCGCAGCTAAGAAACCGCTCGTCATTCCTACGGCTGGAGAGTACAGGCCCAAAGTGACAATGACCCTGATTCTCGTCTGGGATCCAAGTGTGGAAGGGCCCTTGCAAGAAGGAACCATGGGCAGGGAGCCTCCTGTCCCCTTTGCGGGGCTCTGAAGCTCTGCCAAGATGAAGAAACGACCCCAAGGGACACATACCTTGCTGTTAAACACACACCTATTTGGTGAAGCCCACATGGCCACACAACCTACACCGTCCTTCGAGCCAGATATATTTTTCTGCCACTGGAAACAAAGCCCCAAGTTCCTATCTCCTATAAGGAGGGGAGCACTGATTATGTTGTAAGCGGTAGAGAAATGTGAAAGGGTCTGTTATGAAGAACAGGACACGCGTACATTCAGAGTGGAGGCACCCACAGAGAATTTGGGATTCCCGATCTGGGTAAGAGCTAGCGCGTGAAGACAGTAACTCCCCAGACGGTTGGGATTTCAATTTCCAGAGGCCCTTGCCAGCATATGTGCATTGCTATCAACGGCAGCAATGTGAGCGGCTGAAGTCCAAGACACCTGGAGAGCCACCTTCTGTCCACCCGTAGTCCAAAGGATACATGGAGCACTGGTCAATCCAACACTGGGACTGCTTGAGTCTAAGAGTGCTTCCATATGGAGGCACCACCGATCTGAAGACCTTGTGCAGCTACTCCATCTTACAGTAGAATCCTCTGGGTTCCTGTAAAATTCCACGTTTGAAGAAGGCTGATTGTAAAATGATTGCACAATAAAAGCTTCAAACAGTTTGAAAACACCCAATCAAAAAAGTAACTATTTTTAATGTTCGTAGGTTTTATTGTTTTAAGGTTTTAAATTGTTGCACACCATCTCGATAATTTTAACAGGCAAGATACCATATAACTGTTAATAATAACAGAACAAATAAAATAATAATATAAACCGTGTTCATGCCTGAGAATAATTGATTCCTCTCACTCACCTCTAACCTTAATTTCTTTCTTCCCATCAGCAGCACAGAGCACTTTCCTTCCCAGGAAACTGATCTTGAAAACAGAATGAAGATACATCTCAGGAAAGCCTGGCCTTGAAATTGGATGTTTTGGATCCCAAGTCTAGAAACAGTAACCACAAATCCTTAGACAACCTATTTTATCCCCCAGCCTGGGTTTTCCCCCCTTCTTTTTGGAAGGAGCATAGTCTTGTGATGGGGAGTGCTATTAGCTCTATATAGGCCATTGGACAGGGGACATATTGTAATTCAGGTGGTTTGAAATTTGCCAGTTAATTGCAAGGTGTGCGGCACGGGGGCAGAGTGCTGCACCGGTGGCCCAGGAGATCCAGGCTCCAGTCCCCAGTTGGCCATGAAGCTCACCGAGTGAATTTGGGCCTGCCACTGACTCTCCGCCCAACCTCTCTCACAAAGTAATTGTTAGGAGGATAAAAGGAGCGGCAGAGGGCTATGCAAGCTGCCCAGAATTCCTCACAAAAGGAAAGTGGTGGATGATAGATGTCATCTCATGTAATAATAATAATCTGGGCCTATAGGCTTTAATGGGGCAACCTAGTGTTTCTTAAAACTGAATTCATGTAGACCAAAGTATCAAGTCTGCTTACTCTGGACTGTGAAATATCATTAAAATCCACCTGGAATGAGTATGTTTCCAATCCTGCAATCACAAACATAACTGCTTACTGGGGGAGGCAGCATCTGAGGAGCATCATGAAGTGTGCATGTTTAGGGAGCTTCTGCAGTCCTGAACTGTAGGCCTTTCTGCTACAGGATATAACCTAGTCTTGTGACTGTGCAAGAACGGGGACTGGAGTGCGAGACCCCGCCTTTACATTAAGGCTTGGGAACAATATTTTGATCTGCCAGGGGTCACATGCCACTGGTGGGTGGGACTTAGGTGCAGCCAACCCCCAGAACAGACAGACTCACTTTTTTCTTTTTGCCACCTTCTTCTTTTCCTCTCTCTGACACCCCCTTCCCCCCACTTCTTTGTTCCTCATGAAATTAGGTCAGGGTTACCCATCTCTGTTCCAAATACTTTCTTCTGTCATATGTAGCTTCCATCACTATAAGAAGCTACAAGAAGTAGCTTCCATATAGCCTGAAGTGCTTGATCCTGCCCAACCTTGGAAGCCAAGCTGAGTTGGACCTGGTTCAAATCTGGATGGAGGACTTAAAATGTGAACTGCCCAGAGAGCTTTGACTACAGGCAGTATAAAGATGTAATAACAATACAATGTATATATGCAATCCTTCCATCTGGTGTGAGACTTCAGTCTGGTCTTGCTCCTCTCGATATCTTTTGTTTGTCTGTCTGTGTCTCTTGCTTCCTGGACCTTGCCTTGTTTTGCCTTGCTTTAAATTCCGTATCTACCTTGACGGGTTCCTTCCTCTGGCCTTGGCCTACTCTCTGTGTTGCAAGGACTAATAAAAATACCTTTCTGGAGCATGCATGACCTGTGGCTTCTTCAGCAGCTTGCATCCCTTTGTGACTGGGATCGGACTTGGCCACCGCGCTCCCTTCCACACCACAGGGCCACAGCTCCTGCAGTCTTGAAGGTTATTACTCAAGTAACCATGACAGGACGGGCAAGAAACAACTGCAAAAGGTGACAGAAATAGGGTCCGAATCCTCAATGCAACTTTTCAGTGATTATCACATACAGACAATAATGATCAGTGCAAAGGAATGGAACAGAGCCACAAAAGAGGAAAAACAGTCTTCCATGAACCAAGAAATAAAGGGAAATTCAAACCTACATTAGGAATGTTAGAAGACAAATGAGGGAACAATTTATCTGACCAGGAGAAAAAAAAAAGAGAAGGTAGAAAGAATTTACAGAAGAGATGAAAGAATAACAGAGCCTGCAATGGCTGAAAGAAAAGTGAAAGCTACTCTGAAGGCACTTTGCAAAGGATAAAGCACCTGGAATAGATAGGATACCAATAGAACTATTTCAATCTGCAAAAATGATCAGTCCAAATCCTAACAAAATACGTCAACAAATATGGAAACCCAAACAAAGGCTCACAGACTGGAAACATTAAATATATATCCCGGTCCCCAAGAAGAGAAAGGCAGATGAGTGCAGCAACCATAGGACCATTGCCTTAATTTCCTATGCAAGCAAAGTGATACTCAAAGTGTTACAACAAAGAATACTAACTTATGTGGAGCAAGACATCCAAGCTGCATTCCAGAAAGGAAGAGCAACTAGCAATCATATAGCAAATATACTTCGACTACTGGAGCACACCAAAGATTTTCAGAAAAATTGGCCTATACTTTATAAATCACAGCAAAGCCTTTGTGGATCAGAAGATGCGATGGATGGTCCTGAAAGAAATGGGTGGACCTCAGCACTTGATTGTCCTGATGTGTAACTTGTGTCATGTGCAAGAAGCTAAAGTTAGGACAGAATACAGAGAAACAGAATGGTTTTCTGTAAGCAAAGGTGTCAGACAAGGATGAATTTTATCTCCCTATCTGTTCAACCCGTATGCAGAACATATCATAAGGAAAGATGGATTTAAATTAGAGGAATGAATGAAAATTGGTGGAAGATGGTGGAAGAAAGCAGCAATGACTTGACTCCTGATAAAAGTGAAAGAAAGCACAAAAGCAGACCTGCAGCTGAATATTAAGAAAACAAAATCATGTCCACAGAAGAATTACAGAATGTCCCTGTTAATAATGAAGACATTGAAATGATGAGGGATTTCATATACCTAGGCTCAGATCAATTCAAAGGCTGACTACAGAGCAGAAATTTGAAGAAGACTGAGATTTGCATGGGCAGCAATGAAGGAACTAGAAAATATAATCGAGTTTCACTGGAGACCAAGGCAAGGATCATCCACACTATTGTATTTCCAATCACAGTCTATGGGTGTGAAAGCTGGACAGTGAAGAAAGCTGGCAGGAAGGAAACGGAAGTGTTTGAAACATGGTGCTTGAGGGGAGCTCTGTGAAGACCCGGGACTGACAGAAAGATGAAGTGGGTCCTAGATCAAGCCAGACCTTTCCTTAGAAAAAAATGACCAAACTGAGGCTGTCATACTTTGGACACATCCTGAGAAGGCAAGACTCACTGGAGAAGACGATCATGTTCGGGTAAGCCTGATATAGAAGATGAAGACCCAGTAG